CAATTATTTTTTTACTTGCATCCATGTGTGTGTGGGCAAGAAAGTGCTTCCAAAAAAGTTTGTGGAAATAATTCTATTTTTCAACAAATTCATTACACACACACACACAGTTTCCATTTTTTGACTCAATTTTCATGTGTGGGATTTTTTTTCCTGAGAAAGTAACCAAATATGTGCACTGTACACATTTATCAATTAATTCGTTTTTAAAAATTAAGTATCACAAGAAGAGCTGGATCAGTATATGGTATATCCTATTCAGTGACGTGCTGGGCAGACAGGTAACCATTAGGAGGATGGAGAAGGTGTGAAACTGATTACATGTCTAAAAGAACATGATTGAAGTCCCTCAGATTTAATTTTGGCCTGTGGATATACCACAGAAAGGAGCCCTGGGGCTGCTGTGGATTAGGCGTTGGGTTGCAGATCACAGGTCGGCGGTTCGAACTCACCACCCTCAGTGGGCGAAAGAGGAGGCTCCCAATTTTATCCCATTTCTGTCAAACAACAACTTCTGTATGCAAGGATAGGTCCAGGAAGATACACAAAAAAATACTCACAATGAACATCTATGGGTAGTGCTGTATTATGGATTTTTCTCTTGCTTCTCTGCACTTCCTAAATCTTCTTACCGTGAGTAGGAATTACATTCTAAGGAGGAAAATTTATATGCTCACAGACAGAAACGCACACACATTGAATCTGTCCCTAAGAAGTTTAAGAGCAGCGAGAATGACTTCCACTTCTACTGTGATGAGTCAGGACGGTGATTACCACTGAGGGGACACTGACCGAACACAAATGTAAGGGAATTTCCTGATAGTGATGGTGGTGACATGGTATGGACCCCCCGGCCCAGGAGCCATTCTGCCTCACAGCAACCCAGTGAGAGAGTAGAACTGCCCCTATTTCCAAAGCTATTCCTCTTTACAAAAGCACTGACCCTTCAATGAGCAGCCAAGTGCTTAACAACGGCACCCACCAACCTGGAGCCACTGCCATCAAGTCTACTTCTACTCAGAGAGCACCTACACAGGATTTGCATGACTGCCAACCTTCACGGGAGTAGGTAGCCTCATTTTTCTCCTCCTGAGAGGCTGGTGAGATGAACTGCCCATCTTGTGCTCTGCAGCCCAACACCTAATCTACAGCGCCACCAGGGCTCCTTTCTAAGGTACATCCATAGGGAGCAATGAAGTCAAGCTGTATATGCAAAATGCATGATGTTATGTCATAAACCAGAAAAATAAACATGGCATTCTACTCGGTTTGATCTTAAAGCAGGAAAATAAGCCAGGACAAGGGAAAGGTGATTCACAGAGCAATTACGAGGTGAAAAGGGACGATGAGAAAGTTGGGTGACAAGACCTGAGTTCCTTAGGAGGTAGGTTGCTGTCCTAATGAGGTGGGCTGGGCTGGGATGTGAGAAAGGGGTGTTTCCAAACTCAGGATGAAAGGAGTGGGTCCCCACACCCAGGGCTCCTCAGTTTCTGCAGGTTCGGGAGCCAGAGAATCCAGTGGTTACACTTGGGGACGGGTGGCAGCTGGTACCGGCTTTTCACGAAGGGAATGAAGCCCGGAGGGGTGTGAGTGAGGCTCTGCAGACAGAGCAGGAGCAGTGGGAATTGGAGAAGGAATGGTGCTACCTGAGCGCTTCAGAGAGCAGCAGTTCCAAGCGATAGCAAAGGTCAAAGTGTGGCACTGCCGGGGGCAGTAAGCCCACCTGTGCTGCACGCCCACCTGTGCTGCACACCCACCCAGTGCCAGGCAGTGCACCGCAACCCTGCACGGGTGTCCTTCGGTGCTGACGGGACCAGGAAGCGGCCTCGGAGGAGAGGAATGGCAGCCAGAAGCAGAGCACTTGAAAATTCCGACTTGACTCCAAAGCCTCTCTCCCCCCCAACACGCGCGTCACACAAATGAATGCCAGGCTAGTTTCCTGTCCCAGTCAATCGTGACTCCTAGCAACCGTACAGGACACAGCAGAACTGTGCCGTTGTATTTCTGAGACTTCCAATCTTTACAGGAGCAGGAAGCCTTTCTCCGGCAGTCCCCGGTGACTTCAAACTGCTGACATGGTGCTTAGCAGCACAGGTAGCCCACCATGCCACCTGGGCTCGTGGGAGTGAAAGTAAGGCCTTCCAACCCAGTGCAGTACGGCAGATGCAGCGGGATCTTTGCAGCGCAATGTGCTCCACAGGGTTCTTGCAGTTTGTGACCGTTCGGCGAAGACTGCCAGGCATTTCTCCTGAGGTGCTTCTAAGTGAATTCCAACCATTTGTTAGTTGTCCTGCCTCACCCAGAGACTACCACTTCTGGGGCTCCACCTCTGCAGACAGAGATGGGGTGCCCTCTGTTGCCAGGGTCTGGGGAGGTGCTCTGCGGAAGAGAAAGCTTTGCCAAGCAGCAGGTGTGGGTTTCACAAGCAAACAGAGTGAAGGGGGCACCAAGCTCCTGCTTCCTGGTGCCACGACTTTAGGGAAAAAGAATGGCTTCCGCTCACAGGGTTTTTGAAAGGAAAACAGGTTTCAATGTGAGGGAGAAATCTTTGGGGAAGATGCAGTTTAAGGGAGTTAGTCCCACCTCTAGTTAGCAAGAGGGGAGGGGCAGGGCTGTGGGAAGTGGGAGAGGCTTAGCGTGAGGGTGGCAGGTGAGCTCTCCCGTGAGGGACTTATGGTTCCTCAGGTACAGATCGGAGTTCCCACTGCAATGCCAGAGTTAGTCAAGGAAAAACCATCCCAGGTACCATCTGCCAAGATGCACTGCCCGAACCTATCCGTACCCTTTTACTGCCTCCCCTTATCCACATTAGGGGACATCGTAAGCCACGAGGTAGACTAGAAACCATTTTTAGACATATGTTAACAGAACCAATCTAGTATCGACCACCATGCCAAGGCACCATGCAATAGCAGCCCACACGGAGAGGATAATGCCCAGAGCTGATGTCAAGTGACTGGTGTCTGAATCCTCCCGAGCCCTCAGATTGATGGCAGGAGTGGTGTCTTAGCTTCACAGTCAATCATGAAAGGTTTGTGGTAAGTGGATTCTGGCCAAAGGGGAACACTCGTCTTGCGGACAGACTGGATGGTACTGTTGAGCTGATGCCAACCTACAGTGAGCGGCCCCTCAAGTTTTCTAGGCTGTCACCTTCCTGGAAGCAGATTTTTGGGATGCTCTCATAGCGATGGGTGGGTTTGAGACACCAAGCATTTGGTTAACAGCCAAGTGCTTAACCACAGCACCACCTGGGGTTAGTGTACAGTACAATCTGTAAAGGCTGGCACCTGTGCAAAGCGGAAACCTGTCAGAGAAGGAAAACCAGAAATATCTTCCACTAACAGGGAGCGAACATTTCTAAGACTGCTCCGCTAAAGGTGAAAAGGACTGGGGATTGGGCAGGCCCAGGAGCTGTGGCTCTCTCTGGTTTCACCTGTACACACAGGAAGGCCTGGCATCTCTGGACAAGCAACAGGCAACTGTGAAGGTGACAGACTGATGAGTTCGATGAACGCGGCCAGACAGTGGATGGAGAAAAGGCAGGGTGAGAGCAGAGCTTAAATGCCCTTTCAGAAACGAAAACATGAGCAAAGACTTCAGGAGAGGAATTTTAGTAGTTCAGATCTGTTGACTCCTAAGTGATTCTCCTTTACAAAGGCAGAGATCTGTTCTAGCAGCCCAAGAAATGACCAATTCCTTAAGCCACTGAGAAGTCATGGTCAGAAAACACCCCTTCAACATACATTTCCACGAGGGGCAGCTAACACTGTATGAATGACACCTACCTTGTTTCAGGAGCTTCATGCACATTTATTTCAGTCCAGAATCCATCCTACTCTGGGGGCAGAAGGGCTTGACTGTAGTATTAAATTAAAAAATTTTATCTGGGGGGGATGAAGGGACAGCCCCCACCCGCTGATACTACTTATACTACTACTCGGGTTCAGTAATACTACTTCAGGGTTCGGTAATGCACAACTGTATGGTTGAGATATATAAGCATTATATTAAAGTCATCAAGAGCATGAGAAATAATACAATAATACAGTCAGGCATGTTACATGGTACCATTGCTCACCTCAGCCCAGCTTGGTGGTCCACGTGGAGAGAGAGGGAAGGGAAGGAAGGGAAGGGAACAAGGGAGAGAGGAGTGACCAGGGAGTGAGCAGCAAGGAGCTCAGAGTCAGAGAGCGATCTATATTGCTGACACACCTATATACCTTTTGGGGGCAAGCCAGCCCACTAATTACAGGTAGAGACATATGTCACAGGGAGGAGCTGCACTATAGGTTACACAGCAATGAGAGGGTGGTCTAGGGGGTGGTCTCTGGGTCTCCATAGGAACATTATCAGTAGGATGCGAACCCCTCCTACAGGAGCCTGTCCATTGTCCCCAGAGGCAGGGAGCAGGCCCACCCCTGTGGAGGGATGAGACAGCAGTCTGGCAACTGATTGCCCTGGGGGGGGATGCCTGCTCATCTGACCTCCCCCCACACTTGACCTTCATTTAGAGTGGAGGAAACTAACTTCTGGGGGGCTAACTTGTCTGAGGTCACAAAACTGACAAATGACAAAAGTCCAAGCCTGAACCCCACCTGTCAGCTCTGATACCACACTACCCACACTGTGATCGTTTCCAACAGGAACACGTTAGCGCTGTTACTTCTCTTGAGGTTAAATCCCTGGGTGGTGCACATGGTGAAGGACACTCGACTAACTCAAAGGTTGTAGGTTCAAATACCCGAGAGGTGCTGGGAGAGGCCTGGGGCTCTGCTTCCAGAACCCCAGCCTCTGTACCGCTTATGGAGCCCTGGTCATGAGGAGCTGCCCAGAGTTGGCATCAGGCAACTGGTAACATCGCCTCCTAGTTCGCCTAGCTTCTCGGCTATGTAATAGCTGTGCTCTCACCCCCAGCTTCCCACTTTTCCTTCATACAAAGCAAAATACCCAGCACACATCTCCTAGACAGAAAAGACCCACAGCTTGTCGGTTTTTGTTTGTTTGTTACAAAACATTTAATGCCAACCTACAATACAATGTAAACGTTTATGAAAACAATTTAAAGTACACTAGCTTTCTTCCCTAAATGATCGCAGAACTAGTCAGGTGCAGTTCGGGTTGGTCACTGCATCCCTCGTGGATGGACTTCCCTTTGCTGTGGTCCTCAGGCGCCCTCCTATTCAAGCACCAGACACTCTTCCCGACTTGACACTCCGGAAGGTGGGGCGGGTCACTGCTCCTGCCCAAAATCCCTTTCCGGAAACACATGCCTTGGCCTTGGCACCATTAGCAATTGTATAATGACTGCTCAGTTGAAGATCCCAGGTTCTTTTTCGCTTTTTAGGACCGTGTATCCAAATAGCACTGCAGAAGCAAGCAAGGGGGAAAAATTGCTCAAGGAAATTTGGTAGAAAGACCAGCTGGGTCCCACAGAGGCTGCAAAAAAATGCAACCAACTCCAACAAGGTGTCTTGACTTGGTCATTTTCCACGGCTGTGCACTGATGTCAGCCTTGGGCATGTAGAAAGAGACCACCAAGTGAATGTGCCCAAGGTGATTCAGGAACAAGGGGCACCGTTCACCCAGAGACCACCAGCTCCTCCGAGTTTGCCCCCTCCAGGTTCCTGGGCGCACACAGGTGGTACTGGCATTGCCGGACAGCACCTTCCTTTCCCGCTCCCCCTCCGAGTGAGAAGACGGATCCTCCCCAGCAGCACTAGGGTCCACAAGTCAGGTAGGAATGTTTCAGAATGGGCTGGGAGGCACATGCACGCTCCAAGTGAAGCCTCTAGCGACCTAAAGCAAATGGAGCGAGCCCCCAAAGCCGCACTGACGTCAGCAGAGACCACTGACCTCCTTTACTGAACCACCGCTGCTGTCAAAAGGCAAGAGGCATAAAGTGCACATTGTACAATAAGATGCAGCTCCGTTTAAGGAGGGAAAAGAAGCTATGCTGACTTCCCCAAAGAGGTGTGGGCAGGAAGCTGATGGAGAACACTGCCTTTCAAGAGAACAGGGATCCTTACTCTCCTCCTGGGCACTTCCAGGGAGACAACCGGGAATTCCAGTCAGGGGGACGCACTCTGAGCTGAGTAGGAAAATCCCTCTTTTTGTAGTTGTCAGCGGGAAGCAGAGTTCACAGAGGGTTAAGTGGAGAAGGGTTTATATCCTGCTAAGTCACTCCACATACGCTTTTGACAACAGCCGGAGAGCAACTTTCCACTCATCTGGCCTAAGGATAGCAAGGAGCAAGGGGAAGAACGGGCAGCCAAGAGCAGCTCCAATTTCCCAGAGATGGAGCGCCAGACACTGCTGCTGGCTTGCTGGGGAATTCTCCCAGCTCTCCTGGAAAACCCCTGAAACCCTCATCCCGGCCCACGGTATTTTCCCAGTCAAGGCTGCACAGAACAACTGCGGCCTCCGAGAGCTGTTCTTGGGCTCCACTGACATGAGAGCCTTTGGGGGCTGTCAATCTAACCATTTATGCTCTCCCTCTACCTGACACCTTGGCCTCACAGCGAGCTAAGACGACAGTAACTTCAGCAGGTTGCAGTGACACAACAGGTCTGCACCAGTCTAGTTAGAGAACACTTTGGAATCCTTGTCAGTTCACACTGGCACCTGTCAATACATGGCCTGACCCATGTACCCATTGCCATAAACTCAACCACAGATGAGCAACCGAGGCTAAAATCTCTATCACTTCAACGCAGTAATGGGGGGGAGGGGCCTGTTCAGAAACGAAAGCGTGCCTTCCAACAGTTCATACCGGCTCAGAGTCCTGCTGTGGCTCCCTTCAAGGCCCCTGGGTCTTTCCATCGTTAAAGGGAAAACACACACACATACACACACTTCCACTGGCACAGGCAGGGCACTCTCCCATGGTCCTGCTGGTCCTTTGGAAAAGCAGCCAGCTTGGCAATTCTGGAGAGCTGAGGGCTGGGCGGTGGGGTGAAGCAGATACCCCGTCAGAAGCGAAACGGAGAGCTGCTGTCCTCCAGCTCACACCCGTAATAAACGCCTAGCACAGATCCCAGGAAGAGCTGCAGGTCAAGGTGTGTGAACACGAAGTGCATCCATACAGGTGTGGCTCTAAGCCCACAGGTGGCGAGCAAGACTAGCAAGATTTGGACCAAAAACAGGGTCTCTCTGGGAACTTGAGAGGGACGATGGCAGAAAGAAGCGCACACCAGCCCAGGCACCTTTATTACACTTGTGGGGCCAAGGAGCCAGGGCGTGACCTCGTGGGCTCGAGAAATGACTCTTTATCAAATAAAGTTAAGAAAAAACAAACAAAACCCCACCTATGTCAGCCTTATTCCTTTGGTCATTATAAAGCAACTGATAAAAATGAAAAGTTAGTTATAAACCGTGGGAAGTTCAGGAACCCCTTGTTCGGTCCTTTCTCTTCTTCCTTCTCCAGAGGCAGGAGAAGCCAGTCCTCGGGAGATGCTGCAGTAGCTGGTTTGTGGAGGTTTCTCAGTTTTACTTCCCATAACCCTAAGAAAGAATGTAATCGGTGGGAACACCCCTCCCCTGACAATGGGTGGTGGCAGGTGAAGAGTCTCCTTTTGGTGGCGGGTGCGTGGTGCAGAGGCAGGATGGGCGGGGGCCTGCTGAGCGGTCCGTTGGGTGCTAACCTCTCTCGCACACACATAGGTTGTGACTCTTGCAGGCAGCATGGTTTCTGATCCTTCCTTAGGATGCAGCAGTCTTTTAAAAAAAATATTGTATTATAATAATAATAATAATATGAATTTCTCTTTTTGTTTTTCCATTTCTTTTCAGGGCTGGGGTGGGAGGGGAGGAAGAGAAAGTGTCATTCGTCTGTTAGGTCCTGAACAAAGAGGACTTCTGTGTGGCTTAGTCCTGCCTCCTGCAGCGTGGGGGGGTTGGGCCACTCCTCGGAGGGGAGGCAGGGCAGCACCCTCCGGGGGAAGTTGGCTTCGATCTGAAACTTCTCTGGGCTTTCCTTCAAAGAGAATAAGAAGTCGTGGATGACCTGCAGAGGGTATACAGAAAAAGAATGGCAGTGTGAAAAAGACAGAACAAACACGTGACTAAAATTCAGAATGTGCCCCCCATCCCCCATCTTCCAGCGATGTCTCTGGGGTCTGAAGTAATGATATTACATTGGAATCCTATTTTCTGGGTTTTACCATTTCCCACAGCAGACATGGGGCAACCCTTCCAGAACGGATTTGTTAACAAACTTCAATGCTAGCTCACCCCTCAACTGAGTCAGCTCTCCCTTGATCACTTTTTTTATATAAAGCTAAAACATTTTTTACTTAGAAATAATAATGTCGCAGGACAGCTGGAAGTAAACGACATGGAATCTTTTCCCTCAGATCAGTTGCAAATGAGCTGACAACCTGGTATCACCCTAGGATGTACAAGGAGGCTTCAAAAGGCTTCTGGGAAAATTCCATTAATGTTCTTTTTTAAAACAATTTTATGCACATATAATTCAAATACCATACAATTCAACGGTTTAAATATATTAAAAGGAGAAGGGTAATCAGCATCACAATTTTAGAATTTCTTCGTTCGTGTACTCATGATTATTAGCTCCTCACTTCCCTGCAGCCTACCTTGCCATAACCTAAGAAACTATTACGGCAATTCAGTTACTATCTCTCCAGATTTACCTATCCTAAATTTCATATAAAGAAAAGCATACAACCCTCTCAACAACAATAACAAAACAAAAGAGAAAAACCCCATTCCAAAGAAAGCAGAAAATTATACAGTGGAACAAATTTAAAACAGGTGAAAAGGATAAACAAGGTGTTAAAATTCAAAACTACATCTGAATCAATCCATTTTTCCATTAACTTTCAATTCTATTTTCCCACAAACTTGAAGCCTCCTTGTATTTCTTAGAAACAAGGACAATTCCCAAAATTACCCACTGCCATTGAACTGATTCTAGCTTACAGGGACCGACTGAACAGAGAACTGCTCCAGAGAGTTTCTAATAATCTTTCTCCCCCTGAGCAGTTTAGTGGGTTTGAACTACTTACCCAGTGTTAAGTGGCCCAATGTTAATCCAGTGTGCCACCAGGACTCTTGATAATCAAAATAAACCCAAACTGAACTCACTGCCACTGATGGATGCTGACTTGTAGCACCGCTACAGGACAGAGCAGAACTGCTACTGGGAGTTTCCAAGACAACGTCTTTCTTTACAGGAGGAGAAAGCCCTCTCTTTCTCCCTCGGAGAGGTCGTGGTTTCAAACCGCCCACTTTATGGATCCCAGCCCAACGAGTAACCACTATGCCACCAAGGATCCAATAATCAAAATACAACCCTCAAAACCAGGAAATTCACACGGACCTTTATTACTACATCATATAAGATGACCCAATTCGAGTCTTCCCAGCTGCCTTCCATAGCACAAGACTCCAAGTTTGAATCATGTTGCATTTGGTTGCCATGTCTCTTTGGTCCCCTCTTCAGTCGGGAACAAACCCTCAGCTTTCCTCAACTTTCATGACCTCGAGACTTGCCACTTCTTTTTTGTAGAATCCCCCTCAGCTTGTAGACTCAGCTTAGGCATCTTTGGCAGGAGTAGCTAAGAAATGATGCTTTTTCCTGCCCGCCACACCCATTCAGGTGGAGTACAACCTCAGTGCTTCTCAAGGGCCATAACGGTTTACTTTGATTATCTGACAGTTTACTTGGATTATCTGCCAGGCTTTTGCACTATTGTTTTTTGTACTCTGTAATTAATATTTTATGGAAAAATACTTGGAACTCTGGAAATATTTTGTTTCTCAAACTTTCCAGTTATTCTTTTGCTTATATCAATATAGATTCACAGGCTCCTATTTTATTTGATGGGTTATGTTCTGGGTTATAATTAAAATAATTAATGTCTAAAGGGAGTCAGAAGATGATCATTCAAGATGATGTCTGTGTCTTCCTGACATGCCCCAGTTATTCTTGAGCATGTCCTTGCTTTTGAGCACAAGATGCTGTAGTCTCTGCTTGTATTTGCCCTGCCTTCACCCCAAATCAGCCATTTCTTCATCCTGGGATCTGCTAAGAAGGCAATGAAATTTAGAAGCTAAGATCTAGGTGCTCAGTAAGCTCACTGATATTGAGGTGTTACTGCTCCCACTTTCTATGAACTATGAAACACATACAGCCCCCAAACGATTCCAAATCATAGCCAACACTATAGGACAGAGCTAAACTGCTGCTAAGGTTTCCAGGCTGTCTATCTCTATGGGAGTGGTCAGCTTCATTTGTCTGCAGAGCAGCTGGTGGATTCAAACCGCTACCATAAGGTTCAGCAGCCTAACATGTAATGGCACATGTTTCTAGGATGCCAAAGGACTCTGGGTGGTTATGCTGTGTCCTTAAGAGTCACAAAGGCCAGACCTGTGCAGCCACATTACTTCACCTTCATGTTTCTTTCCTGACTGAGCCTGGTCTAATTTAAAGCCAAACATTTCTCTTCGTCTCAGAGGTCTTTAAAATTTAATTTACCATATAGACTCGTGTATAAGCTGAGCTTTTCAGCACATTTTTTATGCCATTTTTGTGGTAAAATTAGGTGTCTTGGCTGATATTCGGATAGGCCTATACTCGAGTATATATGGTGAATAGGTTTCTTTTTTTTCCTCCTGGAGGGGAGAGGGAGTGGGGCGTGAGGAAGCTATTTAAAAGGCTTCAAGGTTTAAACAGTTAACAAATGGCTTCCTTTGGGCCACAAACTCATTGTTCCAGAATGCTACCAGATTTCTTTTCAATCACTCTGAGCAAGTAAATCTGCACAGGTTTTCACATCCAGTCTTACTTATGAGAGCGTTGGAGGTAGACGCGCCATCAAGCTCAGGTGGATGGGACTATCCTTCAAAGTAAAGACAGTGACATGACTGTATTAACCTGGAGTAGCCACCCTTCAGTGGTCAGAAAACACAGGATATTTTAATCACTACGGATGGGGGTGAGCATGTAGTGCCCACCGACTATGTATGTACATGTTAGCCCAATGGAAAATAAAAGAGAACCTTAAGTTACAGTGAATAGCCCCTCTAGTATTAAAAAGTGCACCAGTGACTGAGAAACAAGAAAGCTCCTTTGTCTTTTTATCAGCCAGATGCCTCCTAACTTTCCAATCTGTTCGGGGCTTTAGTCCTGTATTCTCTACTGGCCAGACCACGGTTTCCTCAGCTGTGGGACCCACTGTGCCTCCCAGTGCCTATGGTCACTCCAATCGAAAGTTACTAGGTGGCAGATTATTTGTCTATTTTACAGACTGCAAATCTGAGGCCCTGTAAAAGATATGTCTGTGGTTCTGCACTTAAATAAGGAGAAGCAAAAAACCATGCTGCCCAGTCTCACATGACTACAGTACATGTTCCTTTCAATTGTGTAATTCACCTTTTTTAAATCATATTTTGGGGGGCTCGTACAACTTTTATCACAATCCATATATCCGTCCATTGTGTCAAGCACATTTCTACATTTGTTGCCATCATCATTCTCAAAACATTTTCTTCTACTTGACCCCGTGGTATCAGCTCCTCATTTTTCCCTCTTCAGGTGTAATTCACTCTTAATGAGCGTGTATGACCAGGAAAGAGCAGAATCTACTACAGTTGTATTATTTGGGAAGGCAGCATACAAACTCATAAACAGAAATTTTTGTTTGGTTATAAAAACATTGAGGCTAATGGATGATGTAAACTGACTAAGAAAATGTATCTGATAGTGTTGGAAGAATTAGAATTTGATCCTCCTTCCATGAGATTCTAAGAATCTTTTTTTTATTTTAAATAATTTTATTGGGGGCTCCTACAACTCTTACCACTATCCAAACATCCATCCATTGTGTCAAGCACATTTTTCCATTTGTTGCCATCATCCTCAAAACATTTTCATTGTACTTGACCCCTTCGTCTCAGCTCATTTTGCTCTCCTCCCTCTCTCACCAACCCTTGATAATTTATAAATTATTATTATTTTGTCATGTCTTAACACTGACCGATGTCTCCTTCACCCACTTTTGTGTTGTTTGTCCCCCCGGGAGGGGATTATATGTAGATCATTGTGATCAGTTCCCCCTACTTTTCCCTTACCCTCCTGGTATCACTATTCTCATTATTGGTCCTGAGGGTTTTATCTGTCCTGGATTCCCTGTGTTTCCAGCTTTTATTTGTACCCATGTACATGCTCTCGTTTAGCTGGATTTGTAAGGTAGAATTGGGATCATGATAGTGAGGGGAGGAGGGGAGGAAGCATTTAAGAACTAGAGGAAAGTTGTATGTTTCATCTGTGCTATACTGCACCCTGACTGGCTCGTCTTTTTCCTGCAACCCTTCAGTAAGGGGATGTCCAGTTGCCTACAGATGGGCTTTAAGTCTCCACTCTGCACTCCCTCTCATTCACATTGATATGATTTTTTTGTTCTGGGTTTTTGATGCCTAATATCTGATCCTATCGACACCTCGTGATCACACAGGCTGGTGTGCTTTTTCCATGTGGGCTTTGTTGCTTCTCAGCTAGATAGCTGCTTGTTTATCTTCAAGTCTTTTTTTTTCTTTTTGCTGTGACAGATATTTTTATTCTTTAGATGGTGATGAGTAGTAGAATTTCTCTTCTCTGTGCTTCATTTCTTCATCTGTCAACTTTTAAAAAGTCACGGTTGAAAATGTCACTTGTTACATCCAGGAGCTAACACTATATTCTTATTGGATGAGGGACAAATCTACTCATTCTTCTTAAATGCATTTTGACAGGTCTGATCCTCTCCAGGCATTCTTCAGAGTATTGACAGAGGGATTGTTGGAAAAGAGAAATCTCATCATATTGTCTCTGCATTAAGTTCTTCAACATATTCTGGGTCCTCTAGAATAATACACAGTGTTGTTAGAAGAGAATGCAAAACTCACCATTTGCTCCACATTATTATCTCTCTGCCTTCCCTTAAGGAGCTTTTATTGATCAGCTACTATGTGTCTAGAAATAAGCTCATTGCCAAGGATCCAATGGTGAAGAAGCATATTTCTTGTCAGTGGTGGAATTCTCCTCTTCCATTGGAATTCTTAGTTTGATTCCCAGTCTCACACTGGAACTTTGGTAACCCTCTTTACACTTCCAAAGAACTCAGTAACTCATATGTGACTTGTTTTGTTTGAGAGCAAAGTCTGTGTTGTTCACATAGGTTACCATGTACACATGATGGCCACAGAGTGGGTGCATGGCCACTGTTTCCCTCTTCTGTTTTCTTTTTTTTTTTAATTTCCTCAAGCTGACTTCTTTCTTTATCTTCAAGTCTTTAAAATCCCAGACACTATATCTTTTGACAGCCAGGCACCATCAGCTTTCTTCACATTTGCTTATGCACCCGCTTTGTCCTCAGCGATGGTGTCGGGAAGGCGAGCATCATGGAATGCCAGCTTAATAAAACAAAGTATTCCTGCATTGAGGGAGTACTTGAGTGGAGGCCCAATGTCCATCTGCTATCTTAGTGCTAAACTTATAAATGTTTGCACATAGATCTATTTCCTCATCATATATAAATATATTTACATATGTACATGCCTTTATTTAGACCTCTATAAATGCCCTTTGCCTCCGAGTTCTTTCCTCTATTTCCTTTCACTTTCCTCTGGTCCCACTATCATGTTCAGCCTTCATTTGGGTTTCAGTACTTCCTCTCAGTTATATTGCCCTTGATCAAGCCCTACCAGGCCCCCTACACCCTCATCACCATCGATTTTGGATCACTTGTTGTTCCCTTGTCCCTGGGTTTGTTAACACCCACTTCCTTTCCCCCGTCTCCCCTTCTCCCAAGTCTCCTCAGAACCATTGGTCCCCTGTTTTTTCCTCCAGATTGTTTATCCCACCTATCTATCTAGATAGACCTGCAAAGATAATAATATGCACAAAAAACAAGACAGAGCAAAACAAAGAAACAAAACAAAAACAAAAAAACGAAAAAGAAAAGCCTGGAAATAGTTCAAGGTCTGTTTGTTGACCTTTTGGAGTGTTTTCCAGTAGAGTCTGATGGGGTGCCACGCCCGGTCCCCAAAGCCTATTTTTGGTATTCCCTGGGGACGTTGTTGCTCTGTTCCCCTTGCTGCTCTGTTGCACACCATTAGTGTTTCACCTCAGTGTGGTGGGGTCATGGTGAAGAATCTTTTTTTAAGCTACCCCCCCTCGTTTCAAGAGAAAGGGAGAGACTATGGATGTCACAGAACTCCTGGGTGACAGGTAACAACCAACTAAAAGGTTGGTGGATGGAACCCACCCACAGGACCTCAGAAGAAAGCCCCGATGATCTGCTTCAGTAGAAGCCACATTGCAGTTCAACTCTGTACCACACTGGTTTCCATGATGCAGAGTTCTGACATCAGGATAACTGGCTGAATTTAAACAAATGTTATGGCTATCACAGCCTCAGGAAGTGACCATAGGTAGAAAGGCAGTGAAAAGCCTCCAAGCGGCATGTGCACTGGTATTCAGGGGCTGCTAGGTCACTGGGCCCTTTACCCTATAGAGCAAGGGGTGCTGCAGCCAGTGCGCATAGAGCAGCATGGAAATCTCTCCCCCTCAAATGCACAGGTCTTCTGCGCCAAGTCCACACATTATGGGGGATAAAAACCCCTGAAGAATTGCTTAGAGTTGGTTGCTGGAGTGGGAAGAACATACAATACTGTACTATGTGCCTGTTGGTGTCCACTGACACCCTTACCATCTGTCTGGCTGCCTCTGTGCTTTCAAATTCCTGTCCACCCAAGTGTCAATAAAACCTCCAAACCCACAGCCCAGGTGTCACAAACATGTAGGTCACACAATGTAGGTGGCCCTTACTGTTAGCGACTGTGAAAAGTGGAATCGTCTCTCTACTCGAGAATCATTGGGCAATTTGAAAACGATCTTGACACTGTCAGGGTCATCAGGGGAAGGCTCAGGGGGCAAGCACTCCAACTTCTTTTCCTTTTCCTCCTGTAAATTCTGCAGAGATACAAGACAAAGGTGAGATGTGGATTCAACGTGGCAATAGGAAACACGAAATGCAATGACCACGTATGTTTGTCATGCAGTCAGGTCACCATAAGAAACACCTCTTGGTAAGCGTCAGGAACAGCCTGGTTCAGAGTATCCCAAGCATGACTGATAAGACTATCAACTGAGAAAAGAGGAAATGGTAAAGAGACAATGCATGCCATCAAGTGGTTTTACATAACAATCACACATGAACTAAATGCTGAATTAACCTACACTGGTGGCAAGAATGACTATTTTTAAAGCCCTGCTGAAAATCACATTTGGACTTACTACTTACTATACTTACTATTCCTAGAATAGAGCTGTTCCACCTGGCTTTTACTTATTCTTTTATTTTATATATTTATATTTGGTGGAACCATAGAAAATCTAAAACTTGTTAAGACATTTAAAATGACTTACATAGTTATCACCATTTTCTCCCGTTACACTTAAGACCAAGCTGGCCAAAAACCCCCAAGGCTAGAATTGAGAAGGCAAAGGTGACACTCTGGTTCCCACAGGTCTGTTACCTGTCGCCGTCTCTCCTCTGCCAACTTTTGCTGCTGCACCTCCTCTTCCTTGCGCCGCCTGCGCTCGCGCTCCTCCCGTTTCTTCCTTTCTTTCTCCTGGTCAGCCCTGAGGGAGGCCAGGTAGGCCTCGTCCTGCTGCTGTCTCAGCACCTGCGTCTGGTTTCTTTCTTCCCTGTGGATGGACCAAAACCTTAGGGCAAACAGCACTCTTACACCGGTCGTGTTTCTTTACCCGAAAATTGGGGGGCGGGAGAAACACCTCATAAGGATTCCCATAGCAGACAGGGCACTGTCTAGATGAGCCATCTTCTTTCTCAGTTTAATTTAGTAGAAAAAGAAATGACAAACTTTCCCTTCTTTTTAAACTTCCAGAATAAAAATGTATCTGCCTCCAATGATAACAAAAGTAACATGATATTGTTATGAAATGATCAATAATGTTATACACTGCAAGTAAACACCCTTTTGAATTTCTAGACTGGTACTGTGGGTTTTCATACAATCAAAAAAACACGTACATGCGTGCATGTTTCAGATGTGAAAAATGTACCCTCCCATGCTATTCAGAGTCCCACCAATCGAAGCTAAAACCTCTGTAACAGGTTTGTGTGTTTACTGTTGTTCTTTCAGCAGGAGTGATACTCTGAACAGTCAGCGGCTTCAATAGTTCATCATTCCTTACTACTGTAGTTTTGTTTTTTTTAATCGAGTACCCTGTATATGCAGTGAAATGCACAGACCTTAAATGTACAACTCAATGCATTTTTTAAAAAGGCTCTTCAACTCCGTAAATGTTGATCAATCCCAATTACTACTCCAATCAAACAGCACATCCCCATCACCCCAGAGTGTTTCCCACACATTGCTCACACTGTTAAAGTTATGCTGCATGTTTAGAGTTCATAACCTGTGTTTTTGTCACATGCAAGCATTTCCCCATGTTATTAAAAACTTACCGAAATTTTTTAAGTTGTATAACTTTCTTGAGGGTATGTTAGCATAATTCCAAGTCTCAAATACATTTAAACCAACCCAGAAATTGCATTTCTAGAAATCCACATTTTAATCTAAGGAATTCATCTCAAATTATAAATTATTTTTTCCTCTGATGCTTTTTATAATTGAAAAAAATAATTTCAAAGTCTAGTTACTGACCTGGTTAAATTAAAGTATATGTAGATAATGGGATGCTAGGTAACAAAAGCAACATGGCAAAGTTATATTTAATAAGGAGGGGAAATGTTTTATTACTATTACATGCAAAGAGTTTATAAAATATTATTGTGTGTGTCTATAAAATATTAAAATCAAGTGGGAGGGGGAGTGGGGAGGGAGGGGGGAAATGAGCAGCCGATATTAAGGGCTAAAGTAGAAGGCAAATGTTTGGAGAATGATGAGGGCAACAAATGTACATATGTGCTTGACACAATGAATGTATGTATGGATTGTGATAAGAATTGTAAAAGCCCCCAATAAAATGATTTAAAAAATCAAAAGTTGTGCTTGGGAGTATGGATGGTTTTTAATTTCTTCTTTGTGCTTTTATTATTGATCATGTACATTATTTATGTGATTCAGGGGAGAGTTATTATTACCATTACACTTTTACATTTAAGTTCTTTTGAATCATATCTCTTAGGAAAGGTTATCAGGATACTAAATGGCCAAGGCTGTTAAAAGTTGCCCAAGACAGGACAGCGTATTTGTGAGCATAGGCCTACCACCTGGACCTATAGCTGGTTTTTCAGTTCCAAAGTGGAATTAACATGTACCTCTCTAGGCGTTCTGACACCAAGTAAGTCTGGTTTGCGTCCATGATAAATGTCAGTTGGTTAATGAGGTCATCGGGTTGAATCAGGCCTTCCAATCGTCCCACAACAGTCATTCTCCGGTCCTTCAGCATAATCATGGCCAGGAATGGATATGTGTTCTCTCGCAAAGCCTGGGACACTGATGACAGAAAGAAGACCCAACAGATCAAGGGCAGGACTCGGGGGATAAAACAGAGTAATCCTGAACCTCTTCACAGTGAGCAAGAGAACTGCTTTATCCTAGCTGGAAAAGAAGCAGGGATCATTCTTCTCTGCCCTTGCTTCTATAATGTACGGTGTCCCTATCCCAAGGAAATAGGGAGACAGGTTTGGTTGCAATGATGCTGCTGGGCTTATCATGCTGGGCCCCAATTCTGGGAGGTTTACTTGGTGGTAGGAAAAGGGCCTATAGGTACTCAGTTTACTGCTTAGCTTAGCAGACTTCCCTACCTTCCTTCTGCCTGGGGAAGTCTCACCCTGATGCTACTAGGGCTGATCTCCACCATCTTCCTTCTCTTACCTCATCTCTTTCTGAACCCTGTCCTCAGACAGAATGGTTAGCTTTTCTGCTTCAAAGAAATCTAGAAAACTGGTTTCCAAATAACCAAGATTTTATCTTATTTACACCTGTTTTTCTTAGGGGTTAAACACAGGTTCCAAAGAAAAAAACTCAGTACTCACGGCATTCACAAATTTTTTGTCCTTTTGCCCATAATACATGATAAAGTGTAGCCCATGCCCCCACCCATCCTGGATTGTTCCAGCACCCCCCAGAGGGTGGCATTGCCCACTCTGGGAAACCATGCTTTAAAAGGCGTTTTTAAAAAGCTTCTATGTGGGGAGGGAGGGGAAAAAATGAGGACCTGATGCTAGGGGTTTAAGTGGAGAGCAAATGTTTTGAGAATGATGAGTGCAATGAATGTACAAATGCGCTTTACACAATTGATGCATATATGTATGGATTGTGATAAGAGTTGTATGAACCCCTAATAAAATGATTTAAAAA